AGTCAGGCTTAGCAGCAAGCACCTCTACCTGCTGAGCCAGCCCACCAGCTGCCAACACAGGTTTGTTGAGAGTAGACGAGGTGGCTGGCGCAGGCCTAGACTGGTTACCTTAAGAGCTGCTGCTGGAAGTTGAGTTTGGCTTCCTCGGGTCCCTCTCTTACCATGTGATCTCTCATACACCCATTTCTTTTCTACCCTGCTTGGAAAGCAATGGCCCTCACCAGAAACCACTAGATGTAGTCTCCTGACTATGAAGAGACCTGTGGGTCAGAGTAAGTCTGTCTGTCTGTCTGTCTGTCTGCCTGTCTGCCTGTCTGCCTGTCTGCCTCTGCCTCTGTCTCTCTCTGTCTCTGTCTCTGTCTCTCTCTCTCTCTCTCTCTCCCCTCCTCCCCTCCCTCCCTCCCTCCATCCCTTCCTTCCTTCCTCCATGATCTCCCTCATTCTTATCTTCCTTTTCCTTTTGAGATAGGTCCTATTATATAGCTTTGACAGGCTCAAAACTCACTACATAAGCCAAGGTGGCCTCAAACTCACAGCAATCCTCCTGCCTCAGCCTCCTGGGTACTGGAATTACAAGTGTGTGCCACCACCACTACTTTCTTTATAAAATACCCAGACTCCAGTGTTTTGTTATAGTGTTATAGTAAGGCAAAATGGACTAAGACAATCATCCGTCTTTTTCCTTAATTGTTCTAAGGGGAGTTCTTCTCCCTGCCCCCACCCCCGCCCCTCTCTTTGGTTTTAGTTTTTTCAAGACAGGGTTTCTCTGTGTAACAGCCCTGGCTGTCCTGGAAATTGCTCTGTAGACCAGGCTGTCCTCAAACTCACAGAGATCTGCCTGACTCTGCTTCCTTAGTGCTGGGATTAAAGGAATGCATCGCCACCTCCTGGCTCTTCTCAGATCTTTTTTATTCCTTGAGATCAGGGTGTTACCTATTTTATAACGTTTGTTTTGTTTGTTTTTGCGACAGGTTCTTGCTACATAGGCCAGGTTGACCTGACAGTACAATATAGCCCAAGCTGTCCTCAAACTCATGATCCTCAGGCCTCATGATCCCAAGTGCTGGGATCTCAGGCGTGTCCCACAGTGCCCAGCCCACAGAATGGCCTTACAGGAGTGTCCCACAGTGCCCAGCTTACAGAGTGGCCTTACAGGAGTGTCCCACAGTGCCCGGCTTACAGAGTGGACTTAAAGGCATGTCCCACAGTGCCCAGCCCACAGAATGGCCTTACAGGTGTGTCCCACAGTGCCCAGCTTACAGAGTGGACTTAAAAGCGTGTCCCACAGTGCCCAGCTTACAGAGTGGCCTTACAGGAGTGTTCCACAGTGCCCAGCTTACAGAGGGGATTTACAGGAGTGTTCCAGTGCCCAGCTTACAGAGTGGACTTACAGGAGTGTCCCACAGTACCCAGCTTACAGAGGGGACTTACAGGAGTGTTCCACAGTGCTCAGCTTACAGAGGGGAATTAAAGGCATGTTCCACAGTACTCAGCTTACAGAGTGGACTTACAGGAGTATCCCACAGTGCCCAGCTTACAGAGGGGACTTAAAGGCATGTTCCACAGTGTCCAGCTTACAGAGTGAACTTACAAGCATGCCCCACAGTGCCCAGCTTACAGAGTGGACTCAACAAATCCTTGGGCCATTGCTGAATGAACTAGTATGCAGAGATGGAGGAAAATATACTGACTAGGTAAAGGAGGCCTCGATTTGTATTTATTTTATGTTATAGCTTTGAGGTGTACTTTACAGTCCAAAAATCTATCTGTTTCAAGTGTACAATCCAGCGATTTACCAAATTATGCAATCATTACCATAATCTAATTTGGGAGCATTTTCACTACCCCAAAAGAAACCTTGTGTTTCTTTGCTTACTCCTGTCCCCAGGCAACCGCCAATCTATTTACTGTCTCTATGGATCTGCCTCTGGGGACATTTCACATAAAGGAATCATAGAATCCATGGCCTTGCACATCTGGAAGCTTTTGCGTAGTAGCTTTGAAGTTTATCCGTGCTGGAGCATGTGTTGGTACTTCGTTCTTTTCACAGCTCGGGGACCATTCTGTGGCGTGTTGTGTAGATGGATTCCCCCGAATGTTGTCTGGCATGAACTGGCGGACATTTGGGTCACTTCCACATTTAGTTATTAGGTTGCTACGATGGCCTCCATGTTTTGTGTGGGTGTGTGTTTCCCTTCCTTCCCTTCCCCTTTTCTTTTGCACTGGGGGATTAAGCCCGGGCCCTTGCACATGCTGAGCATTGCAGGCCTTGGTTTTCTGAAACAGTTTCACCTTAGGGTTCAGGTTGTCCTCGAACTTGAAGTCTTCCTGTTTATGCCTCGCAAGGGCTGGGATTACAAGTGCTCACCATGAACCACCACGCTAGGCTCATGAGGTGCTGGGTGGAATCCAGGGCTTCATGCAATTGAGGCAAACACCCTGTCAACTTAGCTGCATCCTTGGTGACTGAGCTGCATTCCTAGCTCCCTTGGGTTGGCTTCTTTTGGAGGTAGCACCTTATTTTGTAGCCCAGACTGAGCTCAAACTAAAGACAATTATCCTGTCTCAGGCTGTGTCACTGTGCCTGGCTGTTCCACCTCTGTTTGGGACATTACTGCCACGCGCTCCTATCCTCACCTCATTTCTATACTGACTGATACTGCACATTGCCCAAGCATTCTCTCTCTTCAGAGTCTTGCCCCACACAGCCCTTCCTTCCTGTCTCTTTTCTTTTCCTTTACGCCTCCCCTCCCTTCCTCTGCTCTCCTCTTCCACCTGCTCCCGCCTCCTCTCTCTTCCTGTCCTCTTTGTCTTACTGTGTAGCCCAGCCTGGCCTTAGACTCCGAAGTGCTGAGGCTGCAGATGTCCTTACCACATCCATTTCCAGTGAGATACTCCTGGGTGTGAACTCTAGGGTCTACATTGCTTTCTCACTATGGTGGGGATGGAATCCAGCACCTCACCCATGCTAAGCAACTGTACCATTGAGGCACACCCTCATCCCTCCATGGCCCCTGCACGGCCTGACTGGCAGTGGCCTAGAGGAAACAGCACTCCAGGTACAATAAGCCAAACCCCAGTTCAAAATCTTGTTTTGTGGTTGACTGGTCATAAGGACCAAAGGCAAGTCACACCCTCTGAATTCAGTTTCTTCCCTCTTAATGTGTCACACCACCACATCACCCAAGGGTGGGAATGCCTAAAACAGGTCACTTGGTGCCCAAGAATTCTGGATGCTGTGGAGATTGGGTTTTCTGTAATAAAGAATTCGTCCTTGCAGGATGGCCATAAACCAGTCAGTGTTTCTTACTGAACCAGGCTACATCATCAAGTCTGGACAGTTAGCAGAAAGCCATGTACCTGAGACAGGGTGTTTGAATCTTTTCAAAATTTGGTTAGTCTGGTTGGTATTTCTAGCAAGCTTTTGTTGTGGTTATTTTTGTCTTTTTGAGACTAGCTCACATCCTGCAGCCCACTCTGGCCTGGACCTCACTCTGTTGCTCAGGCTGATCTAGAACTTTTTGGTGGTCTTCCTGCCTCAGCCTCCCGAATGCTGGGATTACAGGCAGAAGACATCACACCCAGTTTAGCAACTGTTTTCTATATCAGACTCTCAATGGCAGCTGGGAGGAAGCCTTTGCTCCCCGTAATTCCTGGGCAAGCAGAAGTCCTCAGTCGGTGCCTGATGGAATGTTACAATGTGCACTTGTCAGGTTGTCCAGGCTGGGGATTGATTCTACCTAGGTGAGATGGCTTCAATGCAGACTGTGGCTCAAGGGATACTCTCAAGGCTAGAGCGGACCCAGCTGAGTGGTTTTGAAAAGCTACAAGAATAGTTCTAATGTTCTGCCAAGACTGAGAACCACCAAGCTAAAAGGACAGATTCAGAGCTCAAACAGATATGCAAGAATTTAAGGCTTTCTGTACCTAGTACTGAACTGACTTTGTCATGGATCTCCTACCCTAGAGTGCTGAGAGGTTTACACCCAGCTGAAACGGCCATAGGAAGCCGTACAAGGTTACTGAGCAAGGGGCGGAAACAGTTGGTAAGCACTATAGGATGTAAATCCCTCATCAGAAAAGCTTGGCGGGAAGCAGAGGCAGGCAGATCTCTGTGAGCTAGAGGCCAGCCTGGTCTACATAGTTACAGACAAGCCAGGGCTCATCTCAAAGCATGAGGAGAAGGAAAGTAAAGAAAAAGAAAAGCTTGGGACCAAAAATGTTGAGGATTTTGTAATATTTGCATATACATAATTTGGTATCTTGGGACGCTAACCCAAGTCTAACATTAAATTAATACACGCAGCTCAAATGTAACTTGATACAATATCGTCAGCAATGTATTTTCTCGATCTCTCTTTCCCTCCCTCTCCCCTCTCCTCCCTTCCTCTGTTGTTCTCTCTCCTTCTCTCACGCCACTCTAGCCTGGAATTCTCTTTATCTTCCGGCTCTTATCTCTCAGGGGCTAGAATTTTACAGGTGTGCTGTCACCTTTTCTTGGACAGTGGACTTCACCACGACAGCCTGTTAGCACCGGCAGTGTCTGGATTTTGTACTTTAGATTTTTCGGTTAGAGATGCTCAACTGATTATAACATTGATAGTGAAGGGCCCAGCTGTTTACAGGTTAGGAAATGCACTTTAATTTTTAAGCTAGCAAAGAAATAGGCCTTTTCCTTCTGTCCTTTTGACCTAAGGTACACTTCTTTGGCCCCTGAGGTTCACGAGTGTCTCAAGGGTAGGGTCTTATCCAGGCGTTGGAGGGAACACGCAAGCCCCTACTAATATATCTGGTGGCTGCCTGAGTGGTTGGATACTCCTCATCAGACCCATCTTGAATTCAGGAGGGCTAGACCATGACACCCCCCCCCCCCCCAACCCCTACCCTTTCCCACGAAGCTAGAAAGGTGCTTGCTCTCTTTTTTTATTTAGCCGTTGCAATGTTTAGCCCCATCGACCGGATTCTAAGCCTACCAACCCAGACTTCTTCTCATCTCTGCACGGAGTTCCCCGCTGGTGTCACACACTGTCACCGGGCTTCTCGGCTTCGGCGCCAGCCTTCAAACCTGTCTTTATCCATTGTTCAGTTTCCTGTGAGTCAAGTTCAGCCAGGCTTCATGCTCTACAAAGACGGTCACAAACACATTCCCTTGCAGACACCTGGGAGGCAGCGCCGCCTGTCACCCGCCACAGATCCAAACAGGAGGAACCGAGGGGCGTTCCCATTCCAGCGGCTCTGGGTGGCGGGGTCGCCGGGGAGCCCCTCTGCTGGGGAGCGCCCAGCCCTCCGCGGGCGTGGCCGGTTTGGCCCGGCCCCTTGCCCGCCCTGGTCGCCTCGAGAGAGTCCCCGCCCGGCCACCGGCCGTCAGCGCGCTCCCTTCGTGTCTTCCCGGTCTCTGCTCGCCTCGGACGAGCCCCACCGAGGGGGATGCTCTGGGCACCACCTCCCGGGGCAGTTGAGCCTCTCAGTGCACTCGGGCGTCCCCGGCCCCGGAGGCCAGGGGAAGTTGTCTTGTGAGCCCGAGGCCCCGGGGTCTCCTCCCCCTGAGCCCCGCCCCCCGCCCGGCGCTGGGGACCGCAGAGCCGCCCGGCCCGGGGGCGTCGCCGCTAGCTCTCCGGAGCCCTAGGAGCCCACGGAGCCAGCGCGGCCAGCGAGCGTCCCTGCAAGCAGCGCTTGTGGCCCGGCGGCCCAAGGACCCCTGCGCCACGGCGCGCGCCCAGAGCGCGGGAGCCCGGAGCACCGGGCGCCTGGGACCCCGCGCAGCCGCTGGCCAGCCCGCGGGGCTAGGCAGGGATGCCGGCTGCACTGTGAGCTCGGGCGCTAGGGCCATGGCCGGCGCCCGCTGCCGGACCTTGTACCCCTTCTCCGGGGAGCGGCACGGCCAGGGGCTGCGCTTCGCTGCGGGCGAGTTGCTCACTCTGCTCCAGGTCCCGGACGGCGGCTGGTGGGAAGGCGAGAAGGACGACGGGCTCCGTGGCTGGTTCCCCGCCAGCTACGTGCAACTGCTGGAGGTGAGAGGCTAGGGCTGGGGTCGGGGACCTGCTATCCGCCCGACCTCGGTGCTCTCGGGAACGAAGGGTGCGGGGGGTGTCCTGGGGCGTGGGCAAAGCTCCCCTCATACCCAGCCTCCCGAGCACGTCGTGGCTGCTCGGGGGAAGGGAGAACTTGTTGCCTGTAGGAGTTCTGGAGCAGGCGGGCGCGCTGCCGCGGCTGACAGGGGCCGCCAAGGGGCCGCCGAGCTCGGTGGTCTTGGCAAGGCATACGGATGATCGAGGTTCAGAAAGGTGGCCCCACAGCCCCACCTTTCCCGCGGACCAGTGGTCAGTCATGCTGTCCCGGGGGCGGACTGCCTGGCTGCCCCCGGGCCGCCCACTTGCTGGTCAGCTGAGATGCATCAGTTAGCAGTGAGCCAGAGCAGAGCAGCAAGCTTGTCCGGGGAACACAGCTAGACCTCAGGCAGCGCCCCCTCGTCTAGGCTCAGTACCCTAAAGTGGCTTGTTCCTGGGGATCTGGCTTTGCCCCAAGGCTACATAGGACAGCTGAGCCAAGTCAGCTGGCTGCTTATTGTCTGGGTGACAATTGCGAGGCCTCTCTGGCCTCTAATCACTGAGCTCATGGTCACAGCCTGAGTGAGAGCCTAAGTTTCTAAAGTCCTTTGTGTGGTGTGTGTATGTGTGTGGTGGTGGTGGTGGTATTTTTCTGTCCTTATGGAGAAGCTGCTGACCCCAGAATCGTCATGAAGGCTAAACTAACCCTCACTCTCAGCTGTGTACGTATTCCTAGGTTTTGGTAGAAGCCGACCTAAATAAGGAAGCAAATTTATCTTTTTACTGGGACCTACTTAAGAACAAAGTAGCAAATTTTGAATGAAAATGTTACATGCAACTTGGGTCAGGGTGAGGTGGAGGAGATAGGGGTGAGGTGGTTGTGGAGCGGGCAGGTCTGGCAAGTGTCCTGGAGCAGCATTATCAAGTGTTTGCTCAGCCTTCTGGAAGCACATGGTAGTTCTTTCCGGTCCAGAAGACAAAACTTGCTCTAAATGGACCATAGTATTCCTCGAAAATGGACCAGTAGTATTCCTGGGCAAAAGACTGGAATGAGCCTTCTGGGGTCCTTAGCAAAGGTGTCTCATACTGTGTGCCCAGCACCTGTATCTGCAGGAGAGGCTCAGATTTGGCTCCCTGCATTTCCCAGTTCCATCTCTAAGGGCATAATAATAATAATAATAATAATAATAATAATAATAATAATGGAAACATCATCTGTCAGGGAAGTCTTGAGCCTCCTGGGGAAAAAGCTCTCTGAAAGACATGTTTGAGTTCTTTTGGTGGCCCCATTTCCCCAGGAAATACTGATGTGGAAATTTGCCTGATGATTGTCTGTCTGGTGAGGAGTGTCCATGGCTGCTTTCAGCCAGCTGTTTTGGGTGGGGATTTGTAAGAACAGAATGCCCCTGCTTTTCCCTGGGGGAGGGAAGGGAGCATGAGCAGGCCCAGAAGACAAAGCAGAATTATCATCTGGGATGGCCTGGGTGTGCCTGTGGCATCCCTTGGCACTTACAGAGCTGGGAAGTCTCTGGTATTTAGGAACCTTTCAGACCCCTCCCATCTATGAATAGCAACTCAGTGACACCAAGAGGACCTTCCAGATGTAGAATACCACCTACACAAGCCATGTGCCCCAGTACCAGTTTCCTGGCAGTTCTGTGCAGGTGAGGTGCCGTCCTCCACTTAGGAAGCTCCATTTGTTTTGAGCCACAGTCTCGCGACGTAGATCAGGCTAGCTTCCAATTTGTAGTCCTCCTCGTCTCTGCTTCTGAGTGCTGGGATTCCAGGCTTGTGCCACAATATCCGGTCGGCACTGTCCTCATTTTACAGACAAGAGAAAACATGACAGCATGAGAAAAGCAAGTCTGTCATCCAAGGGGTCATGTTTGCATTCTAGACTAACAACTCAGGTGGCTGACTAAATTCCTAGAGTATTTTGAAACCCAAAGGTCAGTAAAAGAAGGATCTAGAAGGATGTATGTAAAGAAGGGTGAACAGGCCCCCTGAGACTGGTATGTTGGTGACAGTATCCTTAATAAGACCTGCAGTGCCAGACAGTTGCAACCTGGGGGCACCCTGGAGCACCCCTGAAGTTTAAATTCACCTATAATGAGCTGAGGTGGCTTTTGGTGCCTCCCAAAGGTGGAGTCAAGGATGGACCTGGCCCCACTGCCCAAGTACTGACTAGGATTCTTCTTAGCACCAGCATGGAGGTTCGTGGATCAGATTCCCGGTGGCTGGCAACGTCCTCTGAGAATAAGCTGGATCACTAGGCAGAGAGCTGGGAAGGGATATGCCATGGAGTCTCTCGGGATGGGTTGGGCACTCACAGACAGACTAGGGTAAGCTGGGGAGTGGGTGCAATACAAAGTGTAGGAATCCTGAGAATGCAGAAGCCGAGCAGCAGCTAGGAGACCGAGGAGGGCCCGGAGGCTCTGAAGGTGGTACTGCTGTAGGGGAAGAAGTCTAAATAGAATGGACCCCAACAGCCTCCTGGGGAAGGATGGGGTGATGGGCACCCAGCTGAAGAATGGAGTATTCCTCACAGTGTCCCTTTTGCCCTCTAGTGGAAAGAGTGATAACAGGAAGTGTCTTAGTGGAGGGCGTGAGACACCGAACGTGCAAAGTGGACTCTCCCCAGGAATCTATTCCTGGTTCAGACACAGAAAGGGAAGCTGGAGGCCTGCCTTTGCAGGAAACACACACTTTGGAGGGGAATTGGGAACTGACCCTGAAAGGCCTGCTAGATCTGCCTTGGGGATGGCCAGCCTCAGACCAAAGCAAGGTCTTGGAAGACACGGTCATTGGGGCAATCTCTTTGGTCAAGACTCCTAGAACTGGCAAAATGATACAGTGAATATCTGGCTTAAGAAGATGGATTCCTAGAGGACCTAAGCCCATGCAGAGAAATATGGGACCTGGGGACCCTGGCCACATGGGGTCCTGGTTACTTATGGTGTGGCCCAGCCCTTCATAAGGCACCTAATCTCCCCAAAGGTATGAGAGCTATGCCAGTCAGCTTCCCATTGTTGTGGTAAGGTGCCTGGGATAAAATTTGCATGGAGGAAAGGTGTATTTTGAACCTGGGTTTGGAGGTTTCAGTTTTTGGCCAGTTCTTGGTCCATTAAATTCTGAGTATATTGTAAAGGAGAACATCTCATATTGGCCAGGAAGGAGGGATAAGTGTCCTAGCCCCCCATCCTACCCCACCCAACTCCCCATTCCTCAACTAGGTCTTAACCTCCCAAAGGTTCCACCATTTTCTAGGAATGCCTTAGGCTGATTACGAAATCTTTAGTATATGGGACTTTGGGAAACCTTTAAGGTCTCAGCCATAACCAGGCCTAACAGCCGACACCCAAAGCTGGTTGTGATATCTAAAGGCCCTGAGATGAGAACAGCTAGAAAAGCCTTTCTAGGTGATATCTTCTGTCATGAAGAAAGGGACCAGCAGAGAACTTGACTGACTTGAAAGACACAATAGAAGGAAAGTGAGTGGATGGAAGAGGTGAGGCCAGGCTGCAGGCTATGGGGCCAGATCCAAGTCAGGTTCTGGGTCACTCCCATAGTCTTAGGGACCCAACATGAAGGGCAATTTCCACCTGCTCTCAAGGGTGCAGGCATAGCTCCTGGGGAAGGTATTTAGAGGTGGGCTGTCTCTTTCAAGGAAGAGTTGAAGATTCAGGCGTGGTACCAGAGTAGATACAAGGGCTGGTCAGGCCCAACCTGGAAGGCCATACTGGACTCAGGAATTTCTTGTGGCCTGCTCTTACTTAGGCTAGAAGTCAAGAACCTAAGGGTGGTGTGAGATCTCAGTAGAAACACCCAGAGTTTAGGGGAAGTGATTTTAGAAGGGTGAGAAGATGGGAATACAGACATGCCAGAGCTTTCCTTTAGGTGGTGCCAGCAGGTCTAGTCCTGAGAGGTACTCACTGCTTGCGCTGTGTCCCCAGAAGCCTGTGTTGAAAACTTACCACTGAAATACAACCGTCTCAGGTGGAATTTAGGTTATGAGGGTTCTGCCCCCGCAGGTAGACTGATGCCAGTTATAAAGAGGCTGGAAGGTGTATAGTTTGAGAGCTCACCCTTTTCCTCTCTACCACAGGATGATGCCATAAGAACCCAGCAGAGGCTGACACCTCCACGTTGAGACTCCTTGGCCTCCAGAACCATGAAAAATAGATTTACTTTAGAAATTACCCACTTTGTGGTATTCTGTTACAGCCATTCAAAATGGAGTAAGCCAAGCACAGACTGTGACAGTGCTTGTCAGTAGGAGAAGGGGGAATGCAAAGGGGAGATTCTTGAACTCCATGTCCTCTTCTTTCCCTCTTCTCTCAGTCTGGGCTCATGTGATTGTGAGACAGGAACTTATAGGGGTAGCTGTGGGAGTGGATGGGCTGTGCTGTGGTCAATGAAGAGGTGGTTTTTCTATGGCTAGGTGACAAAGCACCCCAGAATTCATCCTATGTGACTCTGAGTGGACGGAGCTCAGCTGAGTGGTCCTTCTGTTGATTCACCTTGGCAAACTCCTATGCCAAGAGAGTGGAGGTCAAATGGCAGCTGAGGATTGAGTCCAGGAGACTCCACTGGGTTGGTCTCCTAGAAGGGCCATGTTCACTCACCTGGTTGTTCCGTATGGCCTCTTTCCACATGGTTTCTCCTCCTTCAGTGAATTGTCACACAGCCTTTCTCTGCAGGGTAGTTGGAGTTTGTATGTAGTTGGTGGCCAGCTTCCAAGGATACAAAGGGATGACTTGCTGGGCCTTCTTAAGGTTTTGACCCAGCTCGAGCACATCACTCTGCCATATGCTGCTGGCAAAGTGAGTCACAGGAACAGTCTAGAAGTAGCATGGATGGGAGGTAGGTTCAGGCTTGGAAATGGGAGCAGGATTCATGGAGGACCACCTTGTACATTTCCTGCCTCCCAAGGATGGTGGAGGCAGCAAGGCTTAAGCTCATCT